TGGAAATCAACTACTATAAGGTTCTTTCACTCCATGCAAAATGGCATAATGTCACTTGAAGGTTAAAGCTGTACACTATAAATTCTAAAGCAGGGGTCAACAAGCATTTTCTGTAAAGGGCCAGATAAATAAGTTAGGCTCTGTGGATCATTGCTCTCTCTTTTACCTGCTCAATTCTGCTGTGGCGATGCGGAAGCAGACACTGGCAACATGGAAACGAATGATCGGGGCTATATTCCAACAGAACTTTATTTATGGAGTCTGAAATTGGAATTTCATATAATTTTCACTGGCCACAAAATCTTCTTTTTATTTTTTTCAACCATTTAAAAATGTGAAAACCATTCTTGGCTCACAGCTACACAAAAGCAGGTAGGTCACTGGATTTTGCCTGAAGGCCAGAGTTTGCCATCCATCCCTGTCTTTCAGAGAAACCACTAAAATAACAAAACATAGAGTTAAAGCTAATAAGCCGACAAAAGAAATACAATGGGACAAAGTGTACTTGTACCAAAAGAATGCAGAAAAAAGAAAAGGGAAACAAAGAAGAGATAAGTAGAAAATTAACAACAGTATGATAAACTCAAATATAACCATATCAATAATTAAATTCAATGCAAATTGTCTAAACACTCAAAAGGCAGAAATTGTCAGATTGACCAAATAAGCAAAATCCAACCATATGTGCCTATAAGAAACACTCTTTAAATATAAGTATTAAAAAAAAGGTTAAAAATAAAAGGTGGGGGCCGGCCGAGTGGCACAATGGTTAAGAACTGGCTTGGGGGGCCTGCCAAATGGCTCAGTTGGTTAAGAGCTCATTCAAGAGTGTGAGCTCTGAGCAACAGGTCACTGGTTCAATTCTCAGCCCAAGCTGAGCTGTTGCTGAGCTGCCAACAGGTGGCAGGGTGACTCAGCAAAAAAAAAAAACCCCAAAAAACGGAAATTAATATTTACACTACAGTAGTCATTTCCCCAATAGACTTAAATTATTGGCAAATATGGCCAAGAAATGTGGCCTAACATCAGGAGAAACAACATTTAAAATGTAATAACCTTGCCAGTAAATGATGTAATTATTTTATTATGATTATTATCAGCAGTGATGCTTTTTAAATATGCCCACAAATATTTTGACATTCTTCTCTCTAAAAGGTAGAAACTACTTTCCCTCAACTTGACTGTAGCCAGGTTCAATGACTTGTTTCTAACAAATTAGCTATCATTAATTTTCTTGATTCTATAAATTTACCCAATTCTGAAATTATTTTAACTTTGTTTTCCCCTTGCTTGCAACATTTTACTTTCCTTAAAATTGTAATAGTTGTCTTCAACAGAATTTAAAAAATCATTAGTCCATCAGAAAGACTGTTTCCTTTGCTTTTGTTGTGTTGTTTATCATTGATTAAATTACTGAAAAATATTGATTCTGTTTTCTCCACTTTTTTCACCTATTGATTCTGAACTTGGCCATAGC